TGGCTCAATACCTCCTTAAGCCAGCGAAGGCCTATTATATCAGTTGTCCAGCCATTATCACTCTTTGCAATTAACCAGCTTTGAGGAACTGCTGGTTCTTGATACCAGGTAGCCTGTTGCTCTTTCCCCTTTAAGATAACCACTGGTGGTATAGAAACCCCCTTTGAGCTCACACATTCAATTATTGTAACCCATTCACGGTTCCCCTGAATGACAGTACGGGGTCTCTCACTGCGATCCACTGCAGTGATAACCTTCGAAGTTGTACAGAGTCCCATTGCAAAGCCAGTCTCATCAAAGTTCCAGATATCATCCTCATAGATGCCATATTCTTGAATAGCCTCATGCACAATTGCAAACCACTGTTTTATCACCTTTGGATCCTCCTGCTTTGCACGCTGGTATGTAATCCTCCGGTTATATCGTGTGCAAAGGGCTGGATGGCGTTTAATAAACTTATATGCCCAGTTGACACCAATGGTTGCGGTAGGATCCCGTGTACGCTCATGGAGTAAGATCTGCGCCATTCCACGCAGGTACTCTGGTCGAATTGAAAAGCCCCGTTTATCTGCATCTAGCAGACGCTTGGTAAGAACTTCTTCTTCCAGGGCTGTCAATTTATGGCCATTAGCACGTGTTTCTGAGCGTGGTTTTCTTCCATTAAGGCGAGCGCGAAGGGTAGGCTCAGGCACGCTAAAGGTCTCTGCAGCGCTCAGTACTGATTTAATTTTTTTTATTCTTAATGGCTGCAATTGCCATTTGTATCCGATTTTCTTGAGATAAAGGCATTTTTAATAGTAGTGGTGATAAAACAACGCGTTGAAGAAAGGAAGTGGGTGGCGTAGGGAGAAATTCGTCGCTCGGTGGTTGATTACGTTACAGAGTACATACCTTAGGTAATCGTGCCCATGGAACACTAAGGTACCCAGGTAGGTACTCCGTACTGTATGTTCTTTACAAGACAAGCGTAACTTTACCATACATAACAAATGAGACGAAGTGCACAGCCACAAATCTCAGTCAGTTGATGCCTCAGGCTTGAAACGAAACACGCGCCTCAGGTACCATGCCGTACGGAGTAGTATTAATAGGTGATCATCAAGGCACTATTCGAGAAGTTAATTGCTAAATGTGCGAGTATTGTCAGAATCAGAAGTATTTCCTTTTCCAGACACCATACCTTACATTATTCTATCCAAGGATCGACTGCCCCCTTGCAAGCAAACTTCGAGCTGCTTGCCCTTCCCCCTATCTACGCACGCTAAATCCCGAGTCCTCATTGAACAATCACGCCAAAGCGGGCCTTCCGCCGATGTTCTATGGGGGGCGGCTCCACCAGCGGTTGTCGGAATAGCTACTCAAAACGCTAATGCAAGTTGCAACACTCCCCTTTAAGTACGTTGACAGTTTCAGTTTTGAATTTGCTGAAATAAACTCATTCCCTCGTTCTTCTAGCCCCAAACACTCTCCAAAATTTAACAGAATGACTGTGTGGTGAACTATCTTGGTCGGTTTTGCTAGGATCGCTTGATCCGCACGTAAGTTCGATCTTTGTTTACAAGTGAATTTGTGTCCACGCTGATACCAGTCGTTCCTTGTAGGTATAATGACCGACTCGGCGATTGCTACCTCAGCGTTGAGGGACTCGGAAAACATCTCGAATCGTCCCGATCCCAAAGGACCAGATCCTCTGACAGTGGCTAGCGGTGTCAAGCTCGGTTCACCCTTTCTCTCCCAAACGGAAAACAGACACTCGGCCTCTGATTTTAGGGACGGCAAAGCTGCTCCTACGGATGAGCGAGATGTTGCAGATGATGCGCAATCGGTAAAGGAGAATGTTAATCAGGCCAACGAAGGAGGTGGAAAACCTCAATCAGACAAGGCTGGTCGATTGGAGGAGGCGTGGAATAATGGCCAGGGGGAGCAACCTTTTTTGCCAAGTCTTCGGCGGCCAAATGAATCGCTTGACAGTCCTCGACAGTCGCCGGACCATAAACAGCATCAGTCCACAACCCCCGGAGCGGCGGTTTCGTCGCGTCGTCCCAGCGTCCAGTTCACCCACGAGACGTCTGACATCGATCCCGCCCCGGAAGTATCTGGGTCAAGACCCCCGTCTGTCCTGGATGATGAGCCAGACTCCGGACTGAAGGGGAAACAGTCGATCTTTACCAAGCTCAAGTCTTTCGCTTCGCCCTCATTTACCTCTCATTCTCGTTCGGCTAGTGGGGCAACCATTGGTGATATGAGACAGACCAACGCCGATCTGGCAACACCGGGTTCTGAGCGAGGGGCATTTCGTTTCCCCGATACTTTGGAAGAGGAAGGGAGTGATATCGATGCTGATGCCGAGGAAAGCGCCGGGGAGCAAGAGGTCCGTCAGCGCAGGAAGAGGAAGAAGATTTCGCGACGGCAGCAAGAGCCTCAGTCAGCACCTCAGACTGAACCAAACACACCGAAAACGACCAGGAGACCGTCATTCCACCTCCCAGCTTCGTTTGGTCCATTTGAGAACTACCGCGCCAACCTCTTTGCGCGCAGAGTGAGCACCGGGGACTTCGCCCAGCAGCGGGAGGGTGTATCGGAGGACGAGGGTCGAGATCGCCTGAATAGAGATGCTTGGAGACGGAGAATAGCCAACGCTCGTGCACTTACGTATGGCAGTCGACAGGCGGATACCCACGGTAATCAGGAGGATAGACGACCGAGCAATTTCAAGCGTTTTACTGGCCTGGGTGGGCCATCTGATCACGCAGAAGGAAACGCCCCGCATTGGAGGCGCCATAGAGCTGAACGCGGCTCGAGTCTGAGCGCTCAGAAGTGGCGGCAGATAAAAGCTGGGTTCAAGTTTATGCGTCGCAAGCCTGAGAGCACAGTAGATCATGCAAAGTCCGCCGAGCTACTAGCCGAGTTGACTTCAGGGGTGCCGGCCGCCTTGATCTTGGCTAGCATGTTTCAACGGGATGAACACGGCAGCAAACGGATCCCAATCCTTCTAGAGCAGTTGAAAGTTCGGGTCACTGATAGCAAGTTCGAGCCTCATTCCGGTGACCGTCACCTTGTATTCAGGATCGAGCTGGAATATGGCAGCGGGATGACGCGGATGAAATGGATCATCAACCGTACCCTCCGAGACTTTGCGAATCTGCATCTGAAATATAAGCTTCACTTTGGAACGCAAAAGTACATTCAGCTGCGAAATACCGAGGGCGGCCAGAACCTTCCCCGTTTCCCTCGAAGCGCCTTCCCATACCTTCGAGGAGTCCGGGGTCTCGAAAGTGAGATAGAAGATGAAGAAGACGAAGGCGGCTATGAGACTGCCGCTGAAGCGACCAGCGGCAATGAGAGGTCTGGTAGGAGAAAGCAACAACAAGGGCAACGCCGACTGTCAGGAGGTATATCCCGGAGACAGTCAAGCATTACCAATACCGAGGGCGAGGCCAATGCTGGGCCTTCAGGTGCGGCGGAACCTGGCCAGTCGACGAAGAGGGAGCCATATCCCGAGAGACAGCGGAAGAAACTTGAAGCCTATCTACAGAAGATGATTCGGTTCTTGATCTTCAAGGCCGATAGCAACCGTTTGTGTAAATTCCTGGAACTGTCTGCCCTGGGTGTCCGCCTTGCATCCGAAGGCAGCTATCATGGTAAAGAGGGATACCTGATTATTCAGTCTTCCAAAGGCCTCGATTTTCGAAGGGCGCTGACTCCAGCCATGGTGAAGAAGCGGCATTCACCAAAATGGTTTCTTGTCCGACACAGCTACCTTGTTTGCGTTGACTCGCCCGAGGAGATGAATATCTACGATGTGTTCTTGGTCGACCCGTTTTTCAAATTACAAACTCAAAAGATCAGTTTACGGAATCAGAAAGCGAAAGAGCTTGCCAAGTCCGCTAAAGAGTCAGCCAGACACCCACAGCATCACACGCTGAGGCTGGAAAACTCGGAGCGGAAGCTCAGACTGCTGGCCAGGAACGAGCGTCAGCTCCATCAATTCGAGGACTCTATAAGGTTCATGGTCAATAGTA